TGTGCACATATATAATATACCTTTATTTTTCAGCATATGAGAGGAAATATGCAGTTCTGTCCTTCTCCATCCTATTACGCTCTCTTTTCCCTTCCCCCTTTATTTCTTCCTCCCCTTCATGATCTTCTACTCCCATGCTCTATGAATATTCAGAGATGTTTTTAATGTATGTGTCATTGAGCTCCACAGCATTGACTTGTAAGCAGATTAAAACACTATCAGAAGGGAATGGGCCCATTTTAGGGGATGTAGGTAATCCCAGCACAGTTCAAAGGAATAGATCTATGTAACTAAGGATGAAGGGAGTTAAGGCTTGTAGGAGCCCTTCCAAGTGCAGCAAAAAGCAACATTCAGTCCAAGGGGAGGGCAGTGTGGGAGAGCCACCACACAGCCACAAAGCACCGGCTGTGTCAGGACCCATATATGGAAGTGCATTCCATCTTGCCAGGAGTTTAGAGAGCTCAAAATCAGTCCTATTGTCTTTAAGCTAATAGCTTAATGACTGCAGCACGTCCTGGCCTCGGTGGTGAATAGCTCCTATCTAAATAACAACAGACTTAGGCTCATCCTGAAGGCTAGGTGCTGCAGCTATAAAACACCTGATGGCCAAGCAGTACATGCAGCTAAGGAGTGTCTTTAGGATTAAGGGAAGTAATTGCCATTTGTCCTTTACACATAATAATAGAAGTCTTCTGCCAGTGTCCCCACCTTTGGTTTGTTTACTTAAGATGCTGTATGAATAAGCAGAGGCATTCAGTATGGACTGAAACTGCCCTCCTGACACTATCCTAAGTCTCCATCTTTCCTTTACCATCTACAGCTAGCCTTTCCCTCATCCTTACATCCCCACCCTAGTAGTGGACCTGAGGCTGATTGGCTCATCAATCCCACAAACACCAGTCTGCAACACTGCTGCGTGGTTCCCCTACTCACCCTTTCCTCAGCTGTTCTAGAAGCTCTCACTTGACCTATTTAGAGTTTGCTTTTATGGCACCACTACACATGTTTTAAAATGCGACCAAGAATCGGCATCTGGCCTGGATCTTAGCTATCTAAAACTTAGACTGCTCTCAAACATTCTTCTTAAAACAGGCAAAGACGAACATTTGCAGGGGCCAAGTTCTAATAGTATTGACAGAATCTGAAAGGAAGCCCCCACAAACTTGAATGAATGAAGCTGTCCAGGATGTGGGGACAAGGCAAATCTGCAACCTGTTCCCACTCCGCTCTGCTTTGGGATGCAGGATCGGGACCATTCAGTGAACCCTCTGATTCACACAGTTCTGTGGTCAGGCGGCCATCTGGAAATCTCAACTAAAAGTGGACAAAGTGGGTGCGTTGCCTCCCAGAAAGGGAAAGCATTAAAGGCAACACACAGAGATAAGTCTGCTGGAGACAAGTCAGATAAGAAGCCCCAGATGCTGGGAATTAACTCAGTGTACATGAGCCCGATGTGTGCCTGATGAGAGCAGAGGGGATTCAAGCCATCCAAGGGTGTGCACAGTGCACACAGGAAGCCCACACACTGTGATTACTGCCCAGCATCTTGTTTGGTAGCTCATGGACCCGATGGTGGTAGGAGTGGATAATCACAGACTAAGAGAATGATAATGATGCCAGATGAACGCCAGAAGAGGTGGGAGAGGGCGAGAGGGGGAAGGGAGGGAAGTGGGGCTGGGGAGATGGAGAAGAAGGAAATAAGATAGTGAGTTATTTCAAAGGAATAAAAGCTACAGTAGAAGAGCAACATAGAAAACTGAAATAACAGACAAAGCAAGGGGGCACTGAAGAATAAACACAAAAGCTCTTCCAGGAGGGAGCCATGGTAAAAACACGGAACACTCGTGTTAGAGGTGCAGGTTACAAGCGCAGGCCTTGTATCCGCTCACTGGCGATCTCGAGGACAAACCAGAAAGGCTGGAATAGGAGGAACACCCGAATCCCACATCAGGGGAGGAGGCTGAGGCCAAAGCTGCTCACCACACCCCAGACACAATTGTCCACAAGCTGCCTCATTCTGAAAAGTCGCTGCAAAGGCTGACAGAGAAAGGTTCAATGGGCACGCAGGTAGGAATCTGTGTTACCTACAGTGGGACAGGGAGGAATATTGGCAGAGCAGTTTTGGAGAAAGAACGCGGAAGTCAGACAAGTGTGAGCACATGGGTGCCTTCCTTCAATTGAGGTGATAGGAAGACACCCTCAGCTGTGTAAGTGTTCAGGAGACAAGAGTACCTATCATGAGATAGGTTACCCAGTCCGAGAATGAGGAAGCCTGGAGGCAGGAACAGGGGCAGGCAGCAAGGGCCTCCAGGAACTGCCTGTGGAATTGCACCTGAGTAGTGCCGTGGGTACATGAGCTGCAAATGTCAGAAGTGGTTTGAACAGCGATAATGAAGAGGGTAAACATTATTGCCCAGCTACCGCTTGGATCAAAAACTCAGAAAGAGGAACGTGGTAAAGTAGCGAGACTCAAGAACCTCAGCCTCTACAGGAATTGCTTGTGAAGGCAGCAGTAGTTAGTCAAGCATGGCAGTACATGCCTGCCTTCCCAGGGCTTGAGGTGCTGAGGCAAGGGGCTAGCCCAGGCACCACAGTGAGTTCCAGACCAGTCTAGACTGCAGATGAGAGTCTGTCTTTAAATGAGTTAATTCTTTTAAAAGGGCAACTTTAGGGCTTGAGAGATGGCTCAGCCGTTAAGAGAACTTCCTATCTTGCAGAGGGTCCCAGTTTGATTCTCCAGTTCCAGGGGATACTACACTTTCTGGCCTCTGCATGTACACAGTGCATATAGGCTCACGCAGGAACACAAATGTAAATAAAAATAAGTAAGTATTCTTAAGGCAACTTTACTCTTCACTTTGGATTATTAAGGAACAGCACCTTTAAAAAAGGTGTTTTCGCCGGGCGGTGGTGGCGCACACCTTTAATCCCAGCACTCGGGAAGCAGAGGCAGGCGGATCTCTGTGAGTTCGAGGCTGGGCTGGACCGACAGCCTCCAAAACAACACAGAGAAACCTTGTCTCATAAAAACCAAAAAAAAAAAAAAAAAAAAAAAAGGTGTTTTCAATGATGTAAAACAGCCAATAGCTGAGTTTCAAATGAGATGTTCCCTTCTCAAGCCACTCCTTTCTCCACTGAGAATTGATTATTATCTTCTTCAGTTTGACAGAATCAACTGTGCCTGCTCTTCACTTTCATGTAGATACTTCTTGCGAACAGTGTGCAACCCTCTCTAGTCCTTAAAGCATACAGTCTGCCTACTACTTCTCTGGCTTCTGCATCTGTGAAGTCAATCAACCACTGAGCAAAAATATTTAAAAAGAAAACTGCATCTATACTGAACGTGTGGAGACCTTTTTCTCATCACAATTCTTTAAACAGTACAGTATAATGATGCTTATATTACATACGGGTCTCATAAGTAGTCTAGAGATGACTTGAAGTGTGTGGAAAGATATCCATATGCAAATACCTTACAACTTCATAAAGGCATGTATCCAAAGGTCTTATCATCCATAGAGGGCCTAAACCAGCCCTCACAGACATGACTGTGTTTGTGTGTGGCTCAGTTCCCTATGCTCTGGTGGTTCATGGTTATATATTGATATCACCTGGAAACTATATGATTAATCTCAATGCCTAGCTCTAATGCTGAGAGATTCCAGTGTCATTGGTCTGGCACAGAATAGTATCAGACAAAGTTGAGAACCCTTTGCTTACTCTTCCCTCTCCCAGCAAAATACTGAGAAGTTTCCCATCAAACCTGTCTCCACAGCCATCCTTACACCACAATTGTAAATTGCGCCTGTGGAATAGTTCTTACTAAATTGAAGGCACTAATGCTACAAAAATCTGTCAGGCATTTTTGTCCTAACATTAGCACACTCCACTGGTACTAGACAGTAGTTCTAACTTTTTTAAAGGCTCCTTTTCTTTGGGTTGGATGCAGTGCCACCACAATCTCTCCTTTTCTCTGACGTCCCTGTGAGTGTCCTCAGGAATGTCACCCACTCTAGACAGTCAGGAGATGTGGTGCTCTACTGGACCTTCTGTGAAGGGTGGTTCAGATCCTCTTACTCTCCCTCCTTTGGGCTATGACTGTGGATTCCATCTATTCTGGAGAGGCTTCCAATTGTGCCTCGCTAGCTAAGACTTTCTCATGAACTCCCGGCCATACAGCCTATGTCCATGCTTCATGTCCTCTCTCTCACTGGGACGTCCATGGTCCTCTACCCGGGTACACAGCATCCATCATGCCCCTTCCCTGGGGCTCCCGTGATCCTTTCCCTAGAAACACAGCACCCATCCGTGAACAGAGGCAGACACTCAGGGGATCCTCTCACATGACTCCACACTCAACCCTGCTCAGAAACTCCTTTGCATCTGCCCACCTCCATGAGCACCAGTGACAGCCAGGCTGCTGAAGTCCCCTGCAGCCTGCTGGCCTGTCAAGCTTTGCAAACCTGACATCTTTACTATTTGCCCTCTAGATTAAAACTCCTTGGCATCTTATTTTTCTTCAAAAAGGGAGGGATCCAAATTCTTACTGTGACCCCTAACGTCCTTTCTGTGGTGGTCCTCCTTCTCTCCTGTCCCTTACTATTTCTCTCCAAATTCCATCGACAGTAGCCTTAAAGATTTTCTTCACACATAGCTTTCCCTCTGCAGAGAAAGGACATACCTACCTCACAGCTCCTCCACGCACCAGCTCCCTAAACATACCAGCATGGTCCTGCGGGGATCTCTTCCCTTCCCTTCATGCTAGCCAGGGCTACAGAGTAAAATCTTATCAAGAAGGAAGAGGAGGAGAAGAGAAGGAGAGGAAGAGGACAAAGAGGAGGAAAGAAAGGAAAGACAAACAAATAACAGCAAAAAAAAAAACCCAAAACCCACTACAAGTGGTAAAACTGTGAGAGATGACAATGTAATACACAAGATAAAGCAGTGGGGTCATACCAGCTATGAAAACAACTGTAGTCAATAGTCAAAGTACAATGTCATTTTGGAAATCATTTTTAATGATCCCATTGGGACACATGAAATTTCACACAATAAAAATATTCAGTACAGTAAATCTTAATTTCTACATCCTGCCCAAGAAAAAGGAACACCAAAGTGCTCATGGCTATTATCCTGTTTGTCAAAATTGTAGCTGTTTTCATTTTCATCTTTGTGTTTTGAGTTATGAGTTATGTATAGGGAAACGACATTAATCTACCAGTAAGAGAGAAGTTATATTGGTCAATAACTCTTTGTGTTACCAGGTACAGACAACCGAATTCAGAGGGATTGACACAATACCAGACTGGGGCTGACATCACTAATGAGGTTAAGCGTGATCGGTCTGTGTTCTTTTCCTGCAAATCTCTTCTTTCGTGTCCATGTTGGCATTGTACTTCATCCTCAGATTAACTTCTCTCATAATCACAAAACAGCTGTGGTGGTTCCAGGAGTCCCTTACTGCACAGGCGAGAAGGAGGTACCTGTATCCAGATGATTGGCCCAGTGTAGAACACGTGTGGCCATATATGAGCCAATCACTGCGGTTGGAGGAGGCTGCACCATCAGTAGGGATTCTGAAGAAGCCAGAGGGACAAGGGTGTGAATGTACAATCCAGAGCTGGGTTCTGAGTGGAGGAACAGCACCCCCACACAGGTTACTTCAAAATCCAAAGCTGCTGTGCATGGCGGAGGAAGCCTTTAGTTCCAATTGCTAGGAGGCAGAGATAGGTGGACCTCTGTGAGTTCTCGGCCAACCAGGGCTACACATTAGGACTGTCTCAAAAGTTCACTGCTACAGAGAAGAACTTACCATTAAAACAGCTAGGAGAGCCGGGCGGTGGTGGCACATGCCTTTAATCCCAGCACTCGGGAGGCAAAGGATCTTTGTGAGTTCTAGACCAGCCTGTTCTAGAACAAGAGCTAGTTCCAGGGCAGTCTCCAAAGCCACAAAGAAACCATGTCTCGGGAAAAAAAAAAAGCCAGTTAGGAGAGCCTTGATGGGGGAGATGCCTGGGAAGGTACCGGGGCTCTATGGAGCAAGCTGACTAGGGGAGTATCCAGTGAGGTCTGGGTGTGATGGAGAGAGCCTGACTCAAAGAATAGGGTCTCCAGTCACACACTCCACCAGAGACACAAGCATGAAACAAAGGAACAAAGCCATTAGGAGTTCTGCGTGAGAAGCGCACTCTACTGATGGAAAGTAAAATTAGTACAGTAGTCGGTGGTTAAAAAGGGAGTGGGGGAAATCACAGGGCAGGTGTTGTAGCTCAGAGATAGGATGCATTGCTTTGCCATGCATGAAGTCCTAGATTCAATCACCCAGTTTGCTAAAAAAGGAAGGAGGAAGAGAAAGGAAGGAATCCATTGACTTTGGGCTGGAATTGTAGCTTAGTGATAGTGCACTAGACTAGCATGTAATAGGCTCTAAGTTCAATTCCCAATATTGATTTAAAATAAAAAAGAAGATTCACTTTCCAAACATTCGCTCTAAACTGTCTAAAATTCAAATATTCTCTGCCAAAAAAAAACCCTGGCATAATCATCTGGAGGGGTTTTCACAGGGTTTACAACCATCCTATACGATCCCATTTCAGTAGCATTGAAATGTACACAGCTTTTGAGCATCCTCAGGACTAAAGAACTAATGCTAAATTTACTCTATCTAGAAAGGGTTTGTTTTGTTGGGTTTTTTGTTTGTTTGTTTGTTTTTTGTTTTTGTTTTTGTTTTTTTGGTTTTTACGAGACAGGGTTTCTCTGTATTGTTTTGGAGGCTATCGGTCCAGCCCGGCCTTGAACTCACAAAGATCCGCCTGCCTCTGCCTCCCGAGTGCTGGGATTAAAGGCGTGCACCACCATTGCCCGGCCTATCCAGAAAGGGTTTTAAAGGTTATTTTAAGCTAGACTCACTGGCAAAATTTGTCACCCCAGCATTTGGGAGTCGGAGGCAGGAGGATCACAAGTTCTAGGCCTACTTGGGATTAAAAAAGAAAGAGAGAGAGAGAAAGAAAAAAAGGAACAAAGAGAGAAAGAAAGAAACCTAAAATTATAAGAGGTAATAAAAATGGCTGGTAATATATGGGAATATGACCAGTGTTGGGTCATTTGCCCTGTGTAGTATACATAAGGGCCTGTGTTCAATCACCATTGCTGTAGGGGGAGAAAAATTTTGTAAATAAAAATCTTCTTAAAAACAACAGATAGAAGCAGCGAGAGCACTTTTCCGGAAATCTGCAGAGGGAGGGGTGTGAGAAAGAAGCAGTTAGGGACTCCAGAATCAGGAAGAAGTTTTGGAACAGCAGTGGAGGGAGTACTCTACACAGGATAGAGCGTTGTTTGGAGGGAGTACTCTACACAGGATAGAGCGTTGTTTGGAGGGAGTACTCTACACAGGATAGAGCGTTGTTTGGAGGGAGTACTCTACACAGGATAGAGCGTTGTTGCTACCTTGGCCTCTTTGCTCCCTGCCACAGGCGGGCCAGGCCTAGGAGGCATCTAAAGCCTCCATGTACCCTCCCTGTCCTTATATCTGCGAAAACACTGCCTGGCATCTCAGCATCAGAGACATTTACCTCAGAGTCAAACAGTTCACTCACCCACCCCCCGCCCCTCATCCCAACTCAACATGAGTCTGTCTTTGTTCCTACTGCTCATTGCAGTCTTGTTTGACAATATAATGAGGGCTTTTTAGCCAGATGGAAAATGCCTCACCTGAGTGCTTAATGTCATGGCTGCCAAGGCGCTCAGCCCCCAGGCGCTCCCATCTCTGGGGAAGGGGTTGCAGACCTCTAGCTCAGCCAAGGGCTCTGGGCTGGTGTCTTGCTCCACTAAGCCACTCTTGAAACAGCAGAAGGCAGGGGCTTCTGTCAGTTCAAATTTCCTGGCGTGTATGGGCCAGTGTCACAATCCTGAAGGTGCCTGGGTGTAGTCTGTTCTGTCAAGTCCCTGGAACAGCATGAGATGGGAAGAGCCAGGGTGTAATCACAGAATAGCAAGAGGATTGGGAGGTGACTCGGTGGGGAGTTGGTTTGTGGATGGGCTACCTGTAGTAGAGGCAGGACAACTGAGCTCCTTCCATAAAATAAGCTTAAGAAACTTTCTCCACAAGCTTGGAAACTCACCACATAGCCTGTTCAGTCTACAGTAAGAATATTGTGTCAAGACTACTTTGAGGTCAAATCTACAGAGTGCATATGGGAGGGAACAGGGATAGCATCCAATTAACATTAGATAGTCAGTCAGGAGAAGTGTGCACGCAAAATGCTACCAGACTTGTGAATGTTCCATGTGAAGCTTATACTGATTTTTTAAAATAACTTCTAACGCATCACATTGGGGTTCAGCATTCTACCCAAATATTTATCTTGCCTCTCGCCTCTAACATTGACCCCATAATGCTTATGTGCTGTGCCTTTTCTGTTGTTTGGTGGTCTTTCCTTATCTGACTTGAAAGCAAGCACTGTCCTTGACCAGACTCTAGCATCTACAGAGCATTCTGGATACACAATGGTTGAGGTTGTGGGTGTGGCTTGCTAGTAAAACCGTTCTTAGTATGTGGGAGGCCCTGGGTTTCATTCCCAGTAGAAAAAAAAAAACAACAACAATCACACCATCTGGAAATGTTTATGCCAGAGTTTAAGTCATAGTGGCTGAATTAATCAGTTAACCAAGGAATAGAAAGAATATGGTCATTCGAGGAAGAACACAAAATATACACCTTACAGAGAACAATGTGGAGCCTTCAGAAACTTTGCAAAAACTAAATCATCACTCCAAATGAAGAGATTCCTTTAAGATCAACTCAGTCTTCTTTCCTTCTTCGAAAGAAATCAGTCTAATTGATGAAGGGAGCAGCCAGAAGCACCTTGGCCTAAGTACTGCCATCTTGACTTCAGACTCCATTTTACCTGCAAGGTGAAATAAAGTTCAGGTTCCCAAGCTCTGGGTGGGGCTGAGAACTTTCTAATGGCTTACCAAGCTCCTCCCTAAACCATGCAAATAGTGGCTATGTATCTTTAGTTTTCTAGAAACATTATGGCTGATCCTAACAACAGAAGGAACAAATGAATCTGATTGGCTGGACTGAAAGGCTTATGCTATATATCGGTTGACAATGACAGGAACATTCAAGGAAGCCCCTAATCTCTAAATCTTGATTGGTGGAAATTGTAACTGTAAGTTGGCAACCCATGTTTGTGATTTTTGTGCTTATAAACCTCACTGCTGTTCCTGCTCAGAGAGAGACTCTTAATCTCAGGGTTATGTGTTCAATCTCACATTGGGAACCATTTATAGGCAGAGTTTCTCTGTGTATCAGTAGCTGTTCCCAAATAACCACAAAGAGGCTTAATATTAATTATGAATGCTTGACCGATAACTCAGGCTTATTACTAGCTAGCTCTTACAACTTAGATTAACTCATTACTATTAATCTATGTATTGCCAAGTAGTTCACGGCTTTTCCTGTCCTCCAGCATGTTTTTCTCCCTCTGTGTCTCCCTCCTGGTGACCACTCTGACTTTGCCTTTCTTGTTCCCAGTTTTCTCTCTGTCCCCAACATCCTGCCTAGCTATCTGCCAATTAGATTTTTATTAACAATGAGAGCAATACATTTTCACTGGGTACAGAAGAATTATTCCACAGAATTTTCCCATTTTGTCTAAATAAAATGGAAGGTCTTAACTTTAACATAGTAAAATTGTATACGATAAAACGATTATCAAGCCCGGCACTGGTGGCACATGCCTTTAATCCCAGCACTCGGGATTACAGAGTGAGTTCCAGGACAGCCTCTAAAACAATACAGAGAAATCCTGTCTCAAAACAACAACAACAACAAAAAAAAGATTATAAGCAAGAATTACAATATCCAGTTGATTTGTATTTGACCAAAAAAAATTCCATTACCTATCCTATCTTGGTGAGTCTAAAGTTTTATACCTAATTTACATTCTATCAAAACTAAGGAAAATTTTAACTATGGCCATCTAGTCTTCAACTCTATCAAAGACCCCAGAATGATAAAATATTATCTAAAGGGACATCTGGCTGCCTGGACAGTCATCCAAAGTTCTTCTGTAACATTGGGGCATCTATCTTTGGTCTTCAGGCCTAGTATATCTGACAAACATTTTTGAGAAGCAGGGAATTTTGAAGGACTCTACTATCTTGTCTTGACAAAGTTTGCCAGTCACTTTTTTTCATTCTTCTGGCTCAGTTTAGACAGTCTACTGTCAGCAATTGAGGCAAGGGGTGTTTCTTTGACCAAAAGGCTAGCTTTTGCCATGAACTTCATGGCAAAAACTTCATTCTTAGATGTTCATCATCTTCTTTGAAGCAGATTGGTGCTGCCAGAAACAGACATAACTCATTCTCATAAAAAGCCTTATAGCATTAAGATATCTTAAATGCCATATTCTGTAGTTCTCTGGAGTGTTTGAAGACCACCTGTCTATTTAAAATATATCTCTGTTCAACCAGGTGGTGGTGCGCACACCTTTAATCCCAGCACTCAGAAGGCAGAGGCAGGAAGATTTCCATGAGTTCCAGGCTGGCCTGGTCTACAGAGTGGGTGCCAAGACAGGCTCCAAAGCTACAGAGAAACCCTGTCTCTAAAACACAAAACAAAACAAAACCTTAATTCCCAGCTACCTGGTAAGACTCGAACCCATCATGTACAGGAAGATACATGAAGTCTTTTACTAGAATTAGTACTTTATGTGACTATTAATATCATTACAGTCCTGCAAACCCTCATCAATCAGTAACCTGCTTATGTGGTAAATTATTCAAATTATTTGGGATCCATAAGTGTTGTCTCTCTCTGTCCTCTTGGTGCTTAATGAGCTAGGTCTAACACTGCCACTTCCTGATATGGTGCTGCCACTTCCTGTTCTGATGCTGGAGTGCTACCACTTCCTGTACAGATGCCGGAGTGCTACCACTTCCTGTAGAGATGCAGGAGTGCTGCCACTTCCTGTTCTGATGCCGGAGTGCTGCCACTTCCTGTAGAGATGCCGGAGTGCTGCCACTTCCAGTAGAGATGCCGGAGTGTTACCACTTCCTGTACAGATGCCGGAGTGCTGCCACTTCCTGTTGCTGGAGTGCTGCCACTTCCTGTCTGTGTTAGAGACTGCTGCTGCTTCCTGAGGCGAGTGATTCCACTTGGTGATGGTGCTGCCACTTCCTGGTGATGCCGTTCAGCTGTTGAGCTCTGGGCCTCCTCATCCATCCGCAATGATTTTACCTAGGGATCAGATAACTTCCAGAAACACTCTGTGATGGGCATTGCTGTGAACTTGACAGGATAAGTGACAAGTCTCTGAGAATTTTCTAGATTAGGTGGAGGTGAGAAGATTTACCAGAAAAGTAGGTGGCCCCATCCCAAGGGCTAGTGTTTCAGACTTAACTAAATAAAAAAGAGAGAACAGCTGATCACCTCAGCTTCCTGACTGTGCCAGCTGCCTCTTGCTGCTGCTGCCCTCATGATGAGGGTAAGTCAAAATAAGCCCTTCCTTCCTTAGGATGTTTTTGTCTTATCAACAAGAATACTTATGCAACTGGATCTGATGGCCATGCATGCCTTTAGTCCCAGCACTTGGGAAGCAGAGGCAGGAGGTGAAGAACCAGCCTACCTCCATCTTAGGCTTACAAGCTATCTTATAGTGCAGACAAACTATGTCCATTCCTATTTATGATTAAACCTCTGTTTCTCCAGGACTGAGCTATTCCCTACCTGTAACCTTAACTACAAATGGTTCTGTTCTGCTTGCTCAAAGAATGGCAATCATGTCTTTCGTTCAAAAAAAAATTTTTAAACCATCTTGCAAACCTACCTTTCTTTCAAAAGGTTATATGGCTACCCATGACTACTTTATTATAACCACCTGTTGGGGTTCCCCTTGTTTTGACCACCTGTTATGTTCTGTTCCTATAACTTTACCTATTTCTCCCCATTTGGAAACCTCCTAACCCTGACCTATGAAAGTCTTGCCTTTTCTCACATCCAATGCTGACTTCTGACATGAATTTAAAAAAAAAGCTGTCTTTGATTAATTTGCCCCTGACAATTTGGGTCAGTGGTCTTTTCCCTCTGATTTTGGAGATTAGCAATGACTCTGTCCGAGGCCAACCTAGTCTACACATCAAGTTCCAGGCCAGTCAGGGCTACACAGTTAGACCTTGTCAGAAATAAGAAAAAAAGAAATGGAAAAAGAATAAACTTTCCACAAGGGTGCAATAAGTGGTTCTCACATATTCTTGGCAACCCAAGGCTGTCTAGTTGGTATTAAAGCCTACTCGAGAGGAAAGTAATACAATGCAAAAGAAACCTAGCCAGCTTCTCAGGGCTAGGGAGGTCATGGGGCTTAGAGAAGAGCACACTGCCTCCACCTCTTTGGGCCAGCATAATTCCTTACAATATTCCAATTTTCTCCTTCTACCCACAAGTAAGTATAGTTGCTACTTCTCAGCAAAGAAGCCCCTGCTCACAGCAGATAGGGACCATCCCAGAAAACCATGCCTGGATACCATGCAGAGATGAACAGACATTGGGAGCCCAGTTACAACAGATGCATCTGTATCACAGTTCCTACATCTATGGCTCAGAGAGCCTAGGAGAAGATGGGGTGGAAAGACTATAAAAACCAGAGTACCAGGATGTCTGCTGTCAGTCTCTCCTAGGAACGACTGAATAAACACTACTAGAATGATGTCAATGGTAAGGATAACATGGAAGGAGGAAATTTTCATGGGTCCTGTCCCACCCCTAGATGGTGAACTATAGGAAACTTGTGACTGTCCGGAGAGGAGGAATTAGCCTCGCCCAGAGATGATGCCCTTCACTGCTCATCCAGTGCAGAGTGGACAGTTCTAAATCCACATACACACAAACAACAGAAACACTCTCAGAAGGTTGTGTTTATACATTTGTGCGCACGTATACATACAGGCATTTGTATGTAGCACTAATAATAAAAGAGGCTATCAATTTGAGGTTGGGGCATAGAAGAGGCTAAAGGGAGGAAAGGAAAGAGAGAAAGTGATATAATTCCATTTTAATTAAAATGTATTTTAAAAATAAAATAAACCATGAAGGCAAATTATTAAAAAGATTTTAAAAACAACAATTTTAAAAGAGCACTGTTGAAGAAGTAGGAAGATATAAAATACAAATAGATACGACAAAGGAGGGCAAGAGATAATCAAGTGAATTATTTTTATCAAATAATTCCAAGTGGTCCATCTTACTTTATAATATAAAGATTGCACTCCATTGTATCATACAACATAATGTTGCCTTGCATTGTCTTTCGTCATATAGTGAAATTCCACTAGATGCTAACCCACTTGAAGGCCAGATGAGGTTTGGAGACTCACCCACCATGGTGCTTGGCCAACAAAAATCACCAGTCTCCACAGAGGAAATGAGAGAAAATGTGATTTTACAATGATCCCAGGGATCCAAGACACAGCCGTGTTTCTATTTCTCTCTGCTCCCCTTTGACGTAGATGTTGCTCTTTATTATCTTAATAATGTTGAACCTCGTAATTTAGATGTGGAGGAAAACCATAAACCTCAACTGTCCTGTGTAAGCGCATGCGTGCCTGTGTGAGTGTGTGGGGGGGGGGGCAGCAGCGTGTGCTTTTACTTGCTTTTTAAGTTGGTATAAATTGGTGCAAGTGAAATAAACATCAGTTAGTCTGAAGTGCACAACTTGTCTTCCCCCCAATGGTAGTTTGCCCCAAATCCAAGGAAACCAACCAGACCTTAAAAATCAAAGGAAAAAATCTCCATTGGAGAATGTGATCCAGTGGAGTAAGGTAGAGACCCAAAGAATTGAGCCGATCAAGCGAGAAGCATGCTGGCCAGAACAAAGCAGAGGCAGGCCACCATTTCCCCTACAAATGGCCTCCAGAACATCAGAGTCCAAATAGACCTGGACGTTCTTGGAAAATTGAGACGTCCCTTTTAAAAATGGTCTCTCTAGTTATCATTGGGGCAGCTTGCTCCTTCAGGCTGTTAACCTTCCGACCTCCATCCCTAACCTTGGGGTCCCAAGGGTATCTGTCTAAGAGACTGACTTCCAGAGAGGGTCAGCGTTCCTCTCTTAAGAGCCCCCAGAGCAAATGACTGAACAGATTAGGATGGATTAGACAGATAACAACTCAGAGCTTTTTACAAGCCCAGTTTTCACTCGACACTCAGATTCCCTTCTGTGCCCTGCAGTCTCACACAGCTCAATGACTGGATAGTATTACCAAAATATCTCTGCGCCAGGCGAGTACGTGGAACTGTGCAAAGCCAGATGTTCTTGTAACCCTGTTTTACTGAGTTATTTATATCCATATAATATTTGACATTTCCTGTGTTGTTAAAGAGTTGGGGGCCCTTGACGTATTTTTAAGAGGACAGGGCCTACTTTTCATTTTTTTTCTTTGATGCCCAGCACCAGAAATAAGTATTATGGAGAGGGGCAGCATTAAACAGAAGCCCAGATACCTCAAGTCTACCTTAGTTTAATGCTTTCATCTTAGGTGATGGCCAAGCACACAAAGATGCTGGAGTCACCTAGGCAGAGCATATGAATTAAGTCAGCCACACAGGAACAGCATATGCCCATAAGGCTGAAATGAGCCATCCACTGCACAAAGACAACATTTTCAATGGGCATAGGAAATGTAATCCTCATCTCTAGGGCTAAACTTCATGAACACTTGACACATTAGCTATACCATCTCTTTGAACTTGGTAGATAATGGAAAGGGCTAGTTTAAAAAAAATTCAGGCTTAGTAAAATATTAGCTGGGAGAATTTTCTGGCTAAATGAAATAATGGAAACTTTATAGAGTTGCAAGTACTTGGTGGACCCTAAGGAGTAGTGTTATATAAACAGTGAGTGAAAGCTGATATCCTGCATAGTCATCATTCTGCTTTCTTTCTTTCTTTTTGTGAATGATTTTGCAACAAATCATTCACAAAATACTTTTTAATGTTTGAGATAAAGACACAACAGCAACAACAACAAAAACTTCTCTCTATTAGAAGTGATTGCGTATTATCCTTCCACAATGAGCTTTCTTCTCTAAGAAGTGAAAGGATATACATATATCATTGTGTAGGGAAACTTCCAGAAAATATTGTCTTCTCTCTCTTGCTCTTGTCCTCCCCACTCTGAAGCTGAGGGCCTCCTGACAAACGAACTCCTGCTGACTGGTTTACAAAAACAAGATGTCACACCTACTGAACGACCTGAACACAGACAACCCACCCACGGCCAAAGCAGTTCAACTTCCAGGTAATATTCTAAGCTGTGCTAAGTTCCAAGTAATGTTCGAACAATGAGACAAGTCCTCTAGAAACAGACTAGGAGAGAACCTTCCAGGGCACTGGCGTGCTCCAGTCACCAGTTAGAGACCCCTATCTTCCAGGTTCTATGATAACAATTCCAGGTTTCTCTCCACTGCAAAAGTTGGAATGGTCTAGTAGGCCAGAGAATAGAGTTCTGCATCTACATCTCCCAGAGTCTCTTAGACTTTATCTAGGTTGTTCAAGTATGGATACCGAATCACAATCTTCCCTAGCTTCGATTTTTTTCCTTTCTTACTGACTCTTACTAAATTTTACTGTTGCAAATGTGTTCCTCTTAACAACTATCTTCTATTTTTGCTTCACCCTGATACTAGAAGACCCTAGAAAGTCTCCCTAAACTAAGAGCTCCCTGCAGGTCAGTGAGAAAACAGCCCAAACTGCCAGGAACCTGTTCACAATAGGTGGACTTTGGATACTGGTCACAGAATGTTGTAAGGGGTGAAATTCCATTCACACCTGCTCCACCAGCCTGCAGATTCACAAGCCCAGCATATTCTCATTGCATTACTTACGTAGCCCAGACTAGCCCCAGACTTGTGATTCTCCTGCCTCAGCTTCCCAAGTGCTGGGATTGCAAATATGCAGTACCCAACCTGGCTTAGCATCCCCTTTTCTGAAGCATAAAATTGAGCACGGAACACAGTTTCCTTTTTCACTGGGCTGCCTTTCATGAGGCAGAGATTCACATTCAAGAGCCACTTCGCAAGAAAATACAATACTTTCTTCAAACATACCAGTTCACTCACACATCTGGAGCCTGGAGCATATGCAACACAGGCCCCAGGCAGTGAGTTTGGAGTGCGTACACTGATATTACATAAAGGCTTTCACAGGCTCAACTGACACCATTAACCTAGAAACTTCTCCAAGAAAATTGGATGTGTATTATATAAGACACAACTTCAGCACTACACGCAAAACAAGCAAACAGCAACAAAAGCATCAAACTGGAGTTGGGAACAGGAAC